GCTGTCCTGGGGCTCAGCACAGTGTCACAGGGCTGTCCTGTGGCTCAGCAGGGTGTCACAGGGCTGTCCTGGGGCTCAGCAGGGTGTCACAGGGCTGTCCTGGAGCTCAGCACAATGTCACCGGGCTGTCCTGGGGCTCAGCACGGTGTCACAGAGCGGTTCTAGGGCTCAGCAGGGTGTCACAGAGCTGTCCTGGGGCTCAGCACAGTGTCACAGGGCTGTCCTGGGGCTCAGAGGGTGTCACAGGGCTGTCCTGGGGCTCAGCAGGGTGTCACAGAGCTGTCCTGGAGCTCAGCACATGCCAGTCCCCTGTGCCCTTTGGCATGCAGAGAACAGGGTGAGTTCTCTGCCCATCCCTCCAGCATGCTGGCATCAGCAGGGGATGGGGCCTTGGCACAGTGGGACTCTGCAGCACAGGGACAAGGGACAGGGACCTGGCTGGGCAGAGGAAGCAGAAGAGCTCAGGCAGGATGAGCAGGAGCTTCCTGGGCAGGAGAAGCACCTGCAGGGACAGGAGCAGGGCTGGGCAGCTGAAGAGGAGGAATTTGGCCAGGACCAGCATCTGTGGTTCCCACTGGCCTGTGCCAGCCTTGCTGGCCACCACATGGGGACTGGCAGCCTGCTCAGGCGTGGTGGATTGGGGGTGTTTCAGGTCACTCTGTGCAGGGGCACGGGTGCCCCGTGAGCCCTGCCCACGATCAGGACCTCTTCCAGCAGAGCTGCACTGGGGTGCTGTGAGCTTTCAGAGACACTGGATATCCCTGGGATAGCCCTGGGGCTGGTGGGGAAGGACAGTGGCAGGCTGGCAGTCCCCTACCAGCACCGTGGTGACAATCAGAGATCTGTTGCTCAGCGAGTCCGTGACGTTGGGCCCTCGTCCTTTGGAGATTTCCGTGATGTTCAAACCATCAGAAGGGCTCCATGCTCCAACCTGAAAGGAAGCAAAGCAGCACAGTGAACCCCCACGTCCAATGCCTCAATCCTTACCTGCATTCCTTAATCCCTACCTTGCATTCCTCACAGCATCCTACGGGCCTGGAAAAGGGAACTTTCTTCTTTTGTCTGCAGCAGACAGCAGCAAAACTGGAATTACCATGAATTAACCCTCCAGCTGCAGGTTAGTGCAGTGGCACATGTGGCACGTGTTCCACGGTCCCTGTGCTGCTGCAGTGGATGAAGACTGTGGGGACTGGAATTTAGGGGCTGAATGAATGAACAATTTGCAAAGGCACCGCATAGAGCAACAATCAAACCACACTAAAGAGTCAAATCTGGGCAAGGATAAAGCACAGCTAAAGAAAAATAACCACAAATCTGAGTCCATTTGCTTTCTTTTCCATTTCCCCACCAATTTGCTTTGGTGGGGAGGATTAAAAGTGGCTCGACCAGCTCTGCAGATCCCTGCCAGGGACCATTCCTGCTCTCTGTGCCGTGGCAAATCAGCTGGAGGTTTCTAACACATCTTTGGCAGGGCCCCGGGCCCCCTTTGGGAAATCCCTGCAATGGGGGGGGGTCTCAGTCCTGGCTGCAAACCTGGAGGAGAGGGTGGCACAGGCACACCAGCTCTACTTCAGGTGCTCTGTTTCCTCAAGCTGTCAAATTTAATAAATTATTAGGCTTCAATGAAACCTATTGATCCACAAATGGCAAAACATGTCCCTTTTAAGGAAGTCATCTGGGCGAGGCTAAGCCTGTTAACCTGATCTCCACGGTGCAGGGGAGGCTTTGGGACAAACTTTGAAGGCAGGAGTGGCTAAAGGACTGTGACAACGAGATAAAATGTCAGGAAAACTGGAGGGATGTGGGAGTGCTGCCAGCAAATGGAGCAGGGTGGCCACGGAGCCAGCCTGGCAGTGAGAGAAAACAAACCCCACCTGGAAATGGGAACAGAACGATCCATCTGTAGGGTCAAACTGCAAGGTGGGACTCGGAGGGAAGCCAAAGGCAGCCAGCTCAATCCACCGGGGAGGCAGCAGCTTCCCATCTTTTATTTATTGCTGTTTTTAAGATTCTTCAGCCTCTTCAGCAGTCCAAGGGGAGAACTTGGTTTTACTGCATCCCCAAAAAGAGACTTTGTAATGAGCAGTGCTGCCTGGCAAAAAAAATTGTCATAAATTCTAGAAGAGTTTCCATGAACTTTGTGAAAGGTTTTAAATATTTCAGGTATAACTGAAGCGATCCCCCATCTCTGCCTTGGATCACACAACAGCTGCAATGTCAAAAATTATTATTATTGTGTATGGGAAGAAAGCAAGTCTGAGAGGCTCCAGTTTGCTGCACTGCAGCCCCAATCACTTCTGCCTTGCTATATTTTCTTTAAGGAAATTAAATGCACGGCACTTAAGACTGAATTAATCAGTTTAAAATATTAAAAAAGGAAGAAAAAGGGAAAAGTCCTTTAAGAGAACTGTGTGAGTCAGATAGTCAAAACTATATGTAATTAGGATTTGGTAATACTCCTGTAATCCCTGGAACATCCAGGAGGTATGAGGATCAGGGATTCAATCCTAAAGCTCAACAAATATAAGCTGTGATACATAAAGCACAATCCGGCTGGGATTTGTTTGTAGTTTGGTGCTTTGTTAGTTCAGATTAACTATTGACAGAATTCTGGCTTCAACAGAGATTTGACATCGATACTTTAAAACCCCTCTGGAGCTGACACGAAGCTCTCAGAAAAATAATGGTGGGAACTGTGAAATCTGTGAATTACTGGAGACAAAAGTTGATGGGGTGTGCAGGGGACACGTCGAGGTTTGGCAGCTTCCAGTGGGTTTGATGTGACAGAGAACTGCAATAACTCCAGCTGGTGCCAGCTCTGCTCAGCACACCTGAGGGGTGTTGCTTTGACAGGTGATTCTGTGGCTGTGCTAAAACATTTGGATTCACGTGGCACAAAAGGCTGGCATGTTTTCTATGATCTGCCCAACACAGCTCTCCAGCAGTGCGTCGCTGCTGCTGGGCTTCAAAAAGAGGTGTTGTTATTTTGGGGTTAGGCTCTATAAACAAAATATTTTGTACAAAAATAAGGCGCCAAAGGTCAGCTGCTGCTCAGTTCTTGTGAGGTGTTGGTACCTTCCCCAGCTCTGTCCTGCCTCCTTTCTCTACCAGCGAGACTGAAGGTCACTGGGTTGATTTGAAATATTTTCTTTATTCCATATTTGACCCCAAAATCTCCCCAGCAGGAGAAAGCTGTGGTGACCTTGAGCTGTGTTACCTGAGGCACCGAGCTGCTGCTGTGGTGGGGAAGTGTGGCTGCCATTCACTTTAAATCCCAGGAAAACCAGAGAGTGAGAAGGGGGATGTGGCAGGGGAGCCTCCTCCATCCCCTCCAAACTGAGGATTGACCCACCTGCAGCCCTGGGGCTGCCTCCCTGTGCTGAGTCATTAATTCCCTGGACAAGACCCCTGTGCTCTTGGCCATGCACGGGTAATTGAAATCCCTCCCTGCTGCCAGCCAGGTGTCCTGTGGGCTCAGAACCTGTCCCCCTGCCCAGAGGGACAGAGCCAGCGTGCTCAGAACCTGTCACCATGCTCAGAACCTGTCCCCCTGCCCAAAGGGACAGAGCCAGCACCGTGCCCAACTGCCACGGGCACCTGGTAGCTGTCGGAAAGCAGACTCTGCTCTAGAAAGGGCCTTGCTGCCCTGCCAAATTCCTCCTGTACAGGTGATAGACACCTGTAGCAGAACAGGGACACAGAGCTGCTCACGGAGTAGTCAGAATCATGGAATTTCTTGGAAATCACAGCTCCCTGTGCTCCAGCCACTCGCTGCTCTGTTTGTCATCAGCTGATCTCACCTTGAAACCTGCATTCTAAGGGCTTTAAGGCTGTGCATGTTGCCTTTTTATTTTAAGTTTGGTTTTTTTTTAAGTAATTGAAGAGAAGGAAATTAAGTCCCCAGGCACACCTGGGACCAGATTTGCACATCAGCATGGTTTTACTGTGCCCAGAGGAGATCTGCACTAATTTGGAAGATCCAAGGCTGCAGCCTTCATGCTCTTGACCCTCATGATGCCCCCAGCTAGGCAGGCAAGACCACACTTCTCCTTTTACCTTATTGCCCCTTAGATAATAAACAAAATACCCAGTGCATCGTCCTGTGAATTCCAGGCTGTAATAAGCTGGGGCTGCTCCCAGCCTTGGGCAATTTCACTGTGGGAAATGACTCCAGATGATGATCTCCAGGGCTGTGGTCTCCTCAGAGAAGAGCTGAGGGTTTGTGAGCCAGGCCAGCAAAAGAGAGTGGGACAGGTGTCATTCCTGTCTGCTTAGGGCAGGGAGGGGTTAATGGATGCTCAGAAAGTTTCTTTTGCCTCCACTATCCCAGGAAAGTGCCACAAGCACTTCTGCAATCTGTAATCCCACGCACTGGCTTCAGGGCGAGTGAGTCATGGCTGAGCATGGAAAAGGATCTGAGAAATCCCACAAAGTGAATATCCTTTTATATAAACCCCAGAAACCTGGAATCAATACAGCACCAACCATTTCTCTGTTGCTGAGCACCAGCGATATCCTCAGCCACATGCAGATAAAACAAACCCTGCCTACCTTTTCAAGGCCGTCTTCTTTGAGACTGATGATATCCAAATCAAAATCTGTCCGTAAACCACTGGTTTTATTAAAGACAATGCGTCCCGTTAATCCTTCCCATTGGGCCTGTGAAAGGGAGAAAAAGTAGCAGGGCTGTTACTCGGTATCATAAATAATCTTTTGCCCTCCACTGTATGTTCTTTTAATTAGTCCTTATGCTGGTTCTTTCTCCCTAAAGAGCCTGATTAATTAATAATCCCTCCGTTGCTGCTCAGACTGCAGACGGAGCCGGAGATTTCCTTAACTCTTCTTGCAGTCCTTGCTACAATTTCTGTTCGCACCTTTTGTGCTCACCAGCTGTTGCAGGAGGTGATGACTCAGTAGAAAACGACGTGCATTTATCACGGCATCCTTGTGAGCTGTGTTCATCCTTGTAGGAATCAGCTGCAGGCTGGCTCTGGGACTGCTCCAGCCAGGAGAAATCCCTTTGTGTGCACCAGCTTGCTGGTGCTTCCATGGTGTGTGGAAGCTTAAATGTTGGGAATGATTCCCTCTGTCCTTCCAGAGGGAAAGTGAAGAAGAAGAGGCTAAGAACGTGCTCATGCAAGCAAGATCTGAGGTTGGAAACAGGCACAGGAGCGGGGCCACGTGCTGCTGGTGCCCCGCTTCAGTTTTTGGCAGCATAAGGACAGGGCAGGTGCTCACTGGGTCTGGGGATGTCCCATTCCCAGAGATTTTTCAGTGCTTGGCTGACTGAGGTCCTGAACAGCCTGGTCTGACAAGGAGCAGGAGCTTGGGGTAAAGATGCCTCAATTCAATTCCACAAAAATCTCCCGTAATTTGATTTCTTTCCCACTGTTCACTTTGCAGCACCCCTAGAATGAATCTCTCTGATTTAGAACATGATAGAACCCCCAGTGCCAGGTGCTCTGTGCCAGCAGAGCAGGAGCTGGGGGACAGCAAGGTGTCCAGTGCCTGGGGACAGTGCTGGAGGTGCTGCAGCATTGCCCTGAGGAGGATGCTCCCACAGGAATGCCAGGCTGCTGCTCAGCAATCACATCCCAGCAATGGGGAGCTGAGCCCCAGGGTCTCTCCCCTGAGCAGCTCCATGCAGGCTGCTCACTGGGAAACGTGTTTCCTTTAGGGGTGGGGGAGCTTGAAATATTCCAGTGTGATCAAGGTGGCATAATGTGTTCTCAGGGGGAATAACTGGCATTTCTCCCGGTAAATACGCTCCTCTGGCTCTCCCTCATTAATTCCTGAGGAGCAGTGACAGCCTGCTCCCAGCCTTGCCACCCTGGAGTCCGGGGGAGGCTCATGTTTGCTCATTTGGGTGTGCAGGTGGTTTGCCTGTGGGACATGAAGCCCTGGAGCCCCCTGAGAGCCGGGGAAAACACGGAATATTTGACGTGCCCAGCTGGAGCAAACACAGCTGCGTGCTGAGCCCTGCAGCTCCTGCAGGGCTGCATTGATGATGTCTTTTTGGGCTACCTAAAAACACAGGCCAGACAAAATTAAGAGAATAAAAAGGCTTATATTTGTTTAAGGACCTTCAGGTAAATTTTGGGCAGATGAAGCCCCCCCCACCCCCCCCAAGGGGCTACACCCAAAAAATGGATAACGATGGGTTTTCACACTTTTATAAGTTTGGTTCATTTGCATATTGAGGGTTAATCTTCCAATTATAGTGTCAGGTAATGAAGTAATTTTACCCCAAGTTTGCTCCTCCCCAACTCTTGTTTCCATCTCTCTGGCCTGAGGCAGTGAGGTGTCCTTGATTGCCAGGCCTGGAGAGGAATTGTTGTGTCTGCCCCAAATGGGAAAGCAGCAGCTCACACTGCACATGGAGTTTGGAGTTGTGCACTGAAGAACTGCAGGATTACAAATACATGAAAAATAGAAAAGCTGAAATCCTGAGACATCAGTGGGAGCACCGAGGGGCTGCACAGCTCCCGGGACAGGGAGTTTTCTATCCCCGCACCTGCCAAACCTCCACCACCTACCCCGGGGAACCTGCTCCTCCCGAGGATTGTTCATATTCCAACAAAACCACGTTTTTACCTCTTTTATGAAGTTCATGAAGCGGCCTCCGAACCGCCAGGCCTTGTGGCGGTGGCACTGCAGGGAGTTGACGGTCATCTGCGGCGCGCGCTGGTAGCACACGGACACCACGTGCACCGCGTCGTACAGCAGGGCAGCGTCTGTCTAAAGGGAACGGGGACAGCGTTGGTGGCCCTGGGGACTCGCAGGAAAAGGTGGGACCCGCTCGGAGTTACCCCCGCCAGCCCCAGGGTTTTTCCTCTGTCTGCGTTCCCTGATGGTTCCTTGGTTGTTTAGACTGAAAGCTCGGGGTTTTGTCTAAAATCGGCGGTTCTGGAAGTGTCGTTTGTCTGTGAGCGACTGTTCTTGCACATTTCCTGCTGTGGTGTCAAAGAGGGAGGCAAGGACTTCTAAATGTGGAAGGTAGTAACAGAGTTTTCTTATTGAGTCTGTTTTGTCTGAGTGTAAAAAAAAAGGAACATATTCTCCACACTATTTTATACATGGGAAATTAAGAAACAGAGATGTTTTGTGGGCACACAGTTTTCTAAAAATGACATAAGCTGTCACCAAAATCAGGACCTCATGGCTTTGTAACATATTCTAGTATTTCAGTGATCTGAACTAGGAGAAATTTTTTCCTCCCGTATAATGCGATGATTTTAGATTCAATTTGAGATGCCCCATCTTACATCCAAACACTGATCAAGAGAATTGGATTTATTTTTCACTCTGATGTGGTAAGACCTCCTGGTGAAAATACATTATTGGCTGGCTTCATGGAGCCACGAAACAGATGTGAGTGTAGCAGCAGCGTAATAAACCACAATAAAACAAAATAACACAGCAAATAACTGAGCAAACATCTCACAGGACGTAGCCATGGAGAAAATCCCCCAGCCTTGGCAGCCATCCCTGTGACCTTCCCTTCCCTCAGCAACCAAGCATGAAGAGCAGGAGCCCCACCTGCATCCGTGGGCGGGTATGGACCACAGCAGGGACAGGTTGGTGAGTTTGGGGTTGGAGGAAAGGGGGGCAAGGATATGTCCATGCAATTTCATGGTGAATTATAGACTGTAATGCCCAGCTGAGTCCAGGGCCCCAGTGGATAGACAGCTGGCAAACAGGAACCAAAGGCTGGATCCCTCTGAGAGAGCAAAGAGGGGCTGGGAGGAGAGGCAGCGCTGGGACTGAGCTCTGCTGCAGGCACAGAGGGCAGCCTGGGGAGAGGCAGGAGAGGGGGAGCCCCTCCCCTAACAACAAACACAACAGGAGGGATCTGAGGAGCCATTTCAAGGTGAAAGTCGGGGAGGTTTTGCCACTTTGGTTCTGGCAGATCTAAAGGGAGAGGGAAGGAGGGAGCCAGTCAGCAGTTTGGGGTCGGAGACAGCCTGGCAGGGAAGACAGATGGGCGAGCAGGTGCTGTACCTTCCGAGCAGTAACTCAGCAGAGCAGAGCTGCCATCAGACCCTAAAAGGAGTCATCAAACTGCAGCTAAGTCCATCTCTGGCTTTGGTGCTTTCCCCGTGCCTCAATCTCAGCAAAGAGCCTGGTCCAGCCTGGCTGTGTGCTGTGCTCCCAGCCCTGGGATCCTGTCCCTCTGCTCTTGGGGACAGCTGGAGCCCTTTGGGACAGGTCCTGGCTACCTGCCTTGTCTGGTGGCCATCTGTTGGCAGCTGGGCCTGAGCAGGAGCCTTACCACAGCAGTGGGGTGTGGGCTTCACCCCAGATTTTGAGGGACAGTTGTTAAAGAATGCAAGAAAGCACCTCAGGGCTGATACCTGGGATGGGTAGTTACTTGCACAAAAACTAATAAAAGTAACATTTAGGCCTTAATGACTGTTCCTGCCTTCCTTGCCACCCTGCCCTGCTTCCCAGACCCCTGTGCCCTCTTTGAACTGCCCGTACCATCATCACACCATCCAGAAGCCCCAGCTCTGCCTTGGGCGCCGACTGCAGCCTCTCCATGGACCACTTCTCGATGATGGAGGACACGTGTGGGTTCTCCACGTTGAGGATCCGGAAGCCGGTCAGGTTCACCCCAGAGTAGCGATATGGTTCTAGGTCTAATGCATAAAGATCCTTAAAAGAGAGAAACCGGTTTAAACATTTTGCTTAGCTTTGTTTTGTTTGAGTTTTCTGCGTCGGCTCGCGTCTGTGTTTGGAGCGAGACAGCAGAGCCCACAGAAGGTGGGAGGGAGCACAGATCCCTCGGGAATTCAGAGGATTGTGCTGCCTGCTGCCGTCAGGAGCTGCCTGCAGAGGCTGGAGGTGTTGGTGGAATCTGGGTGCCGTATGTGCAGGTTCCCCCACACGCAGCAGAAGGGAACTCCTACCAAAGAGCCAAAGAACTTGGTCTGAGCATGAAAGAGAGTGGATTGTGGGGAGAAAAACAGAAGCACTGCCTGTGACCCTGAAAAAAGAGACTTGAGATCCAGGGCGGGGGAACAAGGCAGAGTTTCTGTGTCTGGAGCTCCCATGGGCCTTTCCATGGAGGATTTGCTGGCAGTGCTGAGGCCCACAGGGTGCTGTGAGTGACGGAGTCACTCTGAATGCAAAACACCCATTTGCAGACTATCAAAGAGGAACTAAGACGCATTTCTTGACATTCCAACCAGCCTACACTGTCTGCAGATGAATGAGGGTGCCCTTTATACGATGTGAAAGCAGGGCCAGGCAGTGCTCAGCTCTGCTGGCTGCCAGCCTGCGAGCATCGCTTGGCAGGCAGCGAGGGGCACTGGGGCTACTGGGGGGCACTGGGAGAGCACTGCTGTGGGCAGCTCTTGGCTCTCCACGTGTCTGAATGCCAGCTTCATTGCTCAGGAACGAGTTTGGGGTTAGACAGCACATCAGGATCATGTGGCAGCTGGTCTGCTCCCCAAAGCCAAGCAGCTCACCCGCGGGGGGGTGAGGGAGTGTGGTGAGATGGCAGTCAGGGGTGAGCCATTTGTTGGACAGGACATATTTCATCAGCGTTTATCCTGAACAATTTCTGCAAGGGTTTCATGGCAGTTTAAATGTGGGGAGGCAGAAAGGCAATGCCACATGTCTGCAATGGAGCGTGGGGGTGAATATGTGATATTCACTGCTCTCACAAGGGCTCCCCAAAAACAGCTTCAATACAGGAGGAGGTGCTGTGGCTGTGCTGGGGCTGTTCTGGGCTGTGTGCTGGGACTGTTCTGGGCTGTGCCTGGGCTATTCTGTGTGCTGGGGCTGTTCTGGGCTGTGTGCTGGGACTGTTCTGGGCTGTGCTGGGGTTATTCTGTGTGCTGGGGCTATTCTGTGTGCTGGGACTGTTCTGGGCTGTGTTGGGGCTATTGTTTGTGCTGGGGCTATCCTGAGCTGTGTGATGGGGCTGTGCTGGGGCTATTCTGTGTGCTGGGGCTGTTCTGAACTGTATGATGGAGCTGTTCAGAGCTGTGTGATGGGGCTTTGCTGGGCCTGTTCTGGGCTGTGCTGGGGCTATTGTGTGTGCTGGGGCTATCCTGAGCTGTGTGATGGGGCTGTTCTGAGCTGTGTGATGGGACTGTGCTGGGGCTATTCTGTGTGCTGGGGCTGTTCTGAACTGTATGATGGAGCTGTTCAGAGCTGTGTGATGGGGCTTTGCTGGGGCTGTTCTGAGCTGTGTGCTGGAGCTGTGCTGGTGGGACACAGCTACGCTGTGGGGCCACCGAGCTGCAGCACCCATCTGCCCGCAGGGCAAAGTCCCACATGTGCTGCCCTAAGCAAAGCAGAGCAGCAGCAGCACTTGCCAGCAACTGAGACACCATTCTGCATGGGGGAGTGAGGGTTCTTATGGCTGTTTTGCTTTAATAAGCTTCGGGGGTTTCATCTTTTCTGTAAGCCTGGCCCTGACCTCTGCAGCCCCAGGCCTCACGGCTGATGGATGCAGTGCTCAAACCTGCAGGTGCAGCAGGGACCAAATCATTAATCACCCTACAATGGCAGTTGGGTTTTTGGGCTGTTTTTTAACCCTGAAAAATTGCAAGTGCAAACCTGCACGTTCTGTTAAAGGGCACTGTGAAGAACAGGCCACAATGTTGACTTTTAAATGACTTAAGGGAGCTAAGGGCAAATGCAGTGGTTTGACCTCAGACAGGTGCTCATGTCTGGCTGAGAGGGGGCACAGCAGTTCTGTGCCTGACCTGCTGGAATGGGTCTGTTTTTTCAAGATTCATTTTTAATCAGACACTTCAGTTTGCATTCCAGAAATTGTTGTGAGGAAATAATTTTTGGTTGCAAAAGCTAATAATTTCCCCCTCAGAATGCGACCGGGTGTGACAAATCAGATCCCTGAGCTCCAGACCCCATGGTCTCTGTTGCCCATCTGTCAAACCACCAGCCCTGGCCACCTCTCAGATCCCACTGGTATTTTGGGTGCTGTCCCTGCTCTGTTGCTCCCCACCGACCCTTCCTTTCACCGAGTTCCTATAGAAACCAACCTCCCATCAGGTCCCCCTTTGGTTCCACTTTAAATCTCAGCTGCAGCCTGATTTATCACCTCCTGGAATCAGAGGATAATTCAGAATACCAGCTGAGTGTCAGGACGTGGGGAGGTGTGGATGGGAATCATCAGATCAGTTTCTTCTGGATTTTCTGCTCCTGCACAGCCACAAATTGAAACATCTGGTTCTATTTTCCACCTCATCTACATTCCCTTTCACTCGTTATTTTCTGTGCTGCAGATTAATTCTCCCCTCCACCCTTAATTTTGCTCTCAGTGTTCCTGTGATGCTCTCCCCCTTCCCCAGTTTGCCCAGTTTGGCTGCTGAGTGGTGGCAGCAGTGCTGAGGGCTGATCCTCAGTGATCCCAAATCTTCAGTGGGAAGCTGTAAAGGTGGTCCAGGAAGGACAACCCAGGTGTCCCCACAGCTCTGCCCTGGGATCTGTGGCTGCAAAGCCCCATTTTACAAACTGCTGAGACACCCCACAAGGGTGGAGACCTGGGGTGTTCCCTGCAGGGCTTTTGATGTAAAATCTGTGGATTTTACATTTGGATGTGACAGAGACCAGTGCTCATCAGAGATCCTCCTCCTGCTCCTCCTCCTGTGGTGGAAAAGGCTGATGGGGCTCTTCATGCTGAAGTCAGTGAACTGTAGTCGTGCTGCCTAGCAAAATGTTGAAGCATTTCATGCCAAGTGTTGATACACTGTGCTCAGTATTGACTGGGGACCTTTTAGAAACATTCAGTATAACATAATAGACTAATTCATTAGCACCCCATGGGTCTCGTACTGGGGAAGCTGAAGCACAGGCATTGCAAGCTAGGAAAACATTGCCTTAAGGAATGACAGATTAAAATATCTTTCCCATGATATAACTGTTATTTCAGGAAAGTGGCATTAATTGTGATTGCTTATCTATTAATTTATTATAATTCCTCTTTTCCCACCTCCAGGCTGTACCTACACATGAAATGTACTCCAGGCTCAGCTGGGGCTGATTAATAGGAGGTTATCTGGGAAATGCTTAAAGCTGCCTGGAATAGATAATGGCAGCAGGGGTAATTAAAATGTCTTTTGCATTTGAAAAAATAAATTTTGTAGTTTTTAAGGGTTAGTTTAGTCTGTTTCTTTCCTAAAGGCAAAAAGATAAATTGGATTTTCAAAATCACAGTACAAAATTCAACAGTAGACTAGACAATAGCATCTTAAATGCCGACAAAAGTGACCCTGCCAGGAAAGCCAAATGCCTCCCAGAGTCAGAGAGGACTGGCCCGTGTTTAACAGAGGGGAGTTAATGTCAGGCTGAGCTCCCCTCCTGCAAAATAAACCTGCAGGGCTGAAGCTTGGACTACAGCAGGGCTGCTTCTGGCTCCAGAGGGCTCCTGGGTGCTCATCCCCAGCTCCTGCTGAACCAGGGTCCCACCAAATCCTGCAGCCTTGCACTCTCCCTGTGCTCATTGCCACTGCATGGGGAGCTACCCTGAAATCAAAATGACTGGGAGGGGAAATAAAACCAGAAGCCACATCTGTGCACTCCAAAAGAGGGACTGTCCAAGGGCAGGGGAAGGAGGAGCTGACAACTCCCAGGCAGTGCTGCAGAGAAGAGGAGTTAGAGCCAGGTCACTGGGGTCTGACCTGACCTGCAGCCAAGCCCAGCCCTGCCCTCTCCTCCTGGCAGGGTCCCAGCTCTCCCCTTCCCTTACATTTCCCACCCCACAGCAGTGCAGTGCACACCAGGACCAGATACCCATCCCTCCCACCCTCCCTCACATCCCACCCCCCATCAGTGTGTGCACAGCCAGATACTTTACCAGAGTGGTGAAGATGAAGTGGTAATATTCTGTCATCATCCCCATTGCCATAGCCTTAAGGAGAGTAGGGAAAAAGGGTTAGTAAAGGGATACAAGGACATAACACCAGCCATGCAACATAAAACTCAGAGCTTGTAGGTAAATGTGGCAGGAGAGACCCAGAAACGCCAAGTTTGGATTCAGGATGGAGCAGTTAAGCCAGGCTCATCGGCAAGAGTCTCATGTGCTGAGCTGAGCAGAGCTGTGGTCCTTAAACCCTTCTGAAACCAAGGCAAACCTCAATGTCCAGCTCCCACGAGGGCTGGTGGCATTTCTGGGTGACACTGGGTGTCCCTGGGTGTGCCAGGGCACTGTGGCACTTTGCTCATGGGTGCAGGATCCTCCAGGGCCACAGGTTCCCTTGGCACAGCTGTGGGTAAGGGGGTCACCTTTCCTTCTCCAATACCAAACCATGAGCAACCTCACAGAAACCTGTGCAGATTGACCATAAATAACCTGTTCTTATAGTTCTTATAGTCACACATCTGTGCAGTGGCTAAGAAGCCAGCTCGTTGTAAATGCAGGTGAACCTGGTAGGAAGAAATGCTGATGTCTGACTCCAGTTCAGAAGGTTGAATTATTTCTTTATTATACCTATACTACAATACATTAATATACTATTTAAAGGAGATACTAAAACTACAAACCTACTTTTTCTAGCTACCATATCTAACCAACTCACAACTCCTGACTCTCTGCTAAGAGTCCAACCCCAGTGGGTTGGATTGGCCACCAGGCTCAAACAATCCTCACCAGAATCCAACCAAACAATCACCCCAGATAAACAATTCTCCAAACACATTCCACATGGGAAAAACAAGGAGCAGAAATAGAAATTGTTTTTTCTTTCTTTCCTCTGTGCTCCTCTATGAAAAATCTTGAAAGAGAGAAAAATGTGCCTGCCACACCAGCTGAAAGAGTTTTGATTTTAATTCTGGGGCTCTGCATCCCCCCTTCAATTCCATCTGTGCAGCGAGTAGATGGAGCTCCTGCCTCAGTCCCTCCTTCCTGAGCACAACAGTCAGATCCTGGTTTAGAAGTGGGTCAGTGAAGGTGCAGGCACAAGGATGGGGAATGGGAACATCCCCTGTCCCTCAGCTTTTTGGGATCAGGGTCCTGAGGGTTCTTGGCCAGCACAGCTTGAGATTCCCTGCCAGCCCCTACATGCAGGATGGCTCCTGCAGATTGCTGGGATTTGCATAACTGACCACTGGAGAGAACAGGCTGTCCTGGAAGCTCTTTCAGAGGACAAGTACGCGCTGAAGGGGCCTTGGCTGGATGACCATGTCCAGACCCTTCACAACATGGGGGGAGCACATTGCAGTCTATGAGAAAGGTCACCTTGAAGCTGGTGGCTGGTGGCAGGAAGATTCCTGTGGGTTTGGCTGGGATGCTGACTGTGTGAGCATGTTTTCTGGAGAAAACACATGCAAGAGCACTTTAAAATCCCCACTGATGGGAAAGTGACTTCGAGTCCCCCCAGGAAATGTTTGCTTTCCTTAGTTTTTTGCTAAAATTACTAGGGCAGAATTTACCTCTGAGGGAGGACGTGACAGTCTGAAAAGAAGTGAGATGTCAAAAAAACAAGGGAAAATGAAAGGATCTGGATTGCAAGCCTAGATATTGTGACTCTAAAGTGTGATTTCACCCCAGGTTTCCTGCTCTGGAAGTAGCTTTTAGAAAGTCTGGGGCTGTCCCTGCTGCCATTCACCATCCTGTCCCCCAGTCCCTGCAGGGTCAGTGGGTCCAGGGGCTGCAGTGTAGCTCTCTCCCTCCTGCACACCCTGGTTCAAAGAGCTGAAGGAGACAATGGCACCTCAATATGGGAAGCATCAGCTAGTGATGGGTGCCAATCTGGACAAATAATGAGATCCCAGTTTATGTTCTACAGCTGGATCATTCTGGGCATAGCTGAGGAGCCCAGACCTGCTGTCAGCAGGAAGCTCCAGCTTCCCAGCACTGGCAGCCTGGGGCAGGATACATCTGGGTTTGTGGGGAAATGAATAAATGATCATCCTGGTGGATAAGCCACAGGCAGTGGCTGGGATGAGAGCAGGAGCTCTGTCAGAGCTGACAGGCACAGCTGTGCCCTGCGGAGCACAGCGACTGCTCGGGACAGCCTGGGGACACCTGGAGTGACAACAAGGGACCAAAACTGAGGAAGGCCGGAGAATCTGGGTTAGAATGGGAAAGCCTCACAAGCAGGAATCACTCTCTGATAGGTTTCTACAATGATTTGTTTTCCAAGAGGGCAAAATAATGGATGGTTTGATGTCTGGTCACTCCAAGGGACCCAGGGGGAAGCAGTAGGTGACAGTCATCTGTACAGTTGTTCTGGCTCATGTGGTGTTACTCATGGATTACTAATCCTTGGCTTTTTTTACTACTCCATCTTAAAAAAACTGCCCACATGATCAGTGCTGTGCTGTGGGAGCATGAGACCTTGAATCTCTGGGGAGCAAGATCCCGACTGGCACGCTGGCACTGCTCAGTCAGAGCTGCTCAGCCAGCACAGGCTCTAGGTGCTCAAACCTCCTGTGTTTTCTGAGGATGTGCAGTGAAATTCAATGTCAAGCAGTGGAAATTTTAGCATAAGTCTTGTGAGAACCTTGTTGCCATCCATGGGGGTGACAGCAGGGCCAAGAGACTCCAAGGACTCAGTCTATCTGCATGTCTGCAGAGCTGACTGCTGTAGCGGCCAAAATGTTACAAAAGGCACATAATAGCAATAAAATATGAATATTACTGATTCTGGAATAAACAAAATGCTGGGCCTTCCTCCCTGGGGTTTTGGGGTTTTTTTTTGCAGCCCTTTATTTGTTCTGTGCATTGTTTTTCTGCTGCTGCGAAGGAAGCAGACTCCCCTCCTCCAGGAGATGGCTTTGCCTAGCTTGTACTTTCAGTGGAAAAGAGCTGTTTCACAAATGAAAGTGGCACCTCTAGGCATGCATTTCTTGCTACAGGTAGAAGAGTGAGGTAAATATGAGGTTTCTGGACCTCCTAGTCTTCAGCAGATGTGGGTGACCTGCAGGTCGTGGTGCACTGCTCTGAACTTGCCTGATGTTACACACCAGAGTGGCCAGGCATGCAGAGAGCAGTCAGGCTGTGGTTTGGGTTTGTGCAGCTTCCCAGACTCTGAAAATACATCAGGATTTCCCTGAGTAAAAATACCCCGTCTTTTACTGCTAAGCTGAAATCCATGGCTTCAGGTCCTGACAAAACTCTGACACACACACACAGACCCAGCCAGAAGGACTTAGAGACTTGTCTCCCCTAGTCCCCCCTCTCCTCCATCTTCCTCACTCTGCACCAGCGGTGATGAGCTGAGCAGATGGCACAATAAACTATAATAAACTGCATAATAAGTGAGCAGCACCAAACACAACCAGCACAGGAAAATAACTGGCAGGAGACAATGAGCACCTTCTATTGCTTCCCATAATAATCCCTCCCAGGCTTTCCAGGTTCTCTGAGTACTTCCCTTCATTTTGCATCAGGCAGACTGCAGGAGAAGGCTCTTGCCTTGTGCTTGCTTCCTCATCCCTTCAGGGATTTATTTAATCTGTGTGGTGGTGTTGTGCTGGGCTGATAGGAGCAACACTTCCACCAGCTGGTTTTTAGCATGTCTGTGAGAGCCTTTTCCTCTGCCTCATATTGAGCCTGAAACCCAAAGGCACTCGGGAATGAGGAGCTGGGGTGAGCAGTAAGAATTCCAGTGGAGGAAGAAAGGAGGGAGACCAAATGAATGGAAAATCACTGACATCTGGCTTAAAGTCCAAGAATTGCAGACACTGCTGGGGAAGGGACAGAGGATACAGTCCCTCCTGGCTGGGAGAGGCAGCTTGAATGAAGGGAAAAGTGAGAAGAGGGAAGAAGGCTGGGGCTGGGCAGCTGCAGAGCCACAGAATTATCCAGCACCAGCCTGGGCTTGGCGCTGCATTCACCAGCATTCCCTTCTCCTTCTGTAACGTTTGTTTGTTCTCACCCGCAGCCACTTTTTGGTACTTCCAGCTTTTCAGTGAAAATGCCATTTTCTGTAGAAATCCAGCAGCGTCCTTGAAAGATGGACAAGCTGTACCTTTTAGTGTGGTTGTGGATTGCGACCCAAAGAAAAGCTGCACCTCAGGGCAGGGCCACTCTTCATCACAGCCACCCACCCGTGGGCTGCCTGGCAGCCACTTTGCTTTCCTGCTGGCCCCTGCTCACCTGCTTGAGGATCTGAGCTGCCATCAGGTGGCTGCAGTCGAAGATGATGCGGAATTCCCGGCCCCGCTTCATCTCCTTGAGCAGCGGCCGGGCGTCGTCGGTGTCCAGCGGGAGCTGGCGGATCTTCAGGCGGATGTTGTAGCGGGACGGGGCCATGATGAGCTCCTGCAGCCGTATCAGGCCTTCAAAGTCACACAGAGACAAACCCACAGCGTTACAGGGCTGCCCTCCCCATGGGCACGGCGGCTCAGTGCCTCCCCTGCTCTCTGCAGAATGAAACCAGGACCTCCCTCCCTCCTTCCCTCCATCCATCCCTCCTTCAAATGGCCACTGCCAAAGGGATCAAAGCCACACCTCAACCATTAACTGGAGGAGCTGTTCTTGGACAGAATGGCTTTTCCTGGTTGTTCCCTGCCACCACTGCAGCCAGCAGAGCTGGATGGGCTCCCTGCACTGGGAGAACAGCAGGTTGGTCCTAACCTCAGACACCTCTGGGATCACAAAAAAATTTTCTTAAGCAGATGTGCCCTTGAGAAAGGACAGGATGTGATAATCAGCTGCACAACAAATTAAAATCTGCATATTTACTGTGCACAGCAGCCAAAGGAAAAATGAATATACACTTGGATTTATGAGTCGCGTAGATCGTAACGGTCACTTAATCACAACTCGTAACTTCCTACTACCCTCAGAATCCATTTCTGTTTCCTGCACAAGGCAAAGAGCCATGGTGGATGCAGCTGAGCAGGAATTGTTGGAATCTGATGTTGCGAGGAGAATTTCAGCAGATGCCTATTGCAAGGGGGAAGAGAGAAGCGTGTCTCTCTGCACAGAAGAAACACATTAGAATATGCCACGAAGGGAACATACTGTGACCCACATTTGCAAAACAGGAATGTCAAACTGTGTTCTCATCAGCCCTCCCCTAAAGAAACCATTTGGTTTAGTGAAATTAGGTTGGACAGGCTATCCAATGTGGCTTTTGTTTTTTGGAGGGGGTCTATATCTAGAGCTGTGCAGTGCTTTGCTTTGTTTAACCATCAACAGCTTTTCTTACATGAAGAACTTTGCCAGCTCTGTGTTACAGAAGTATCTAGAAAACAAAAAAACTTATGAGAACTGCTTTTGGTTTCAGCTGGGAACTGCTCCCTTCATGGCAGCTGTACAGGGGTTTTTCTGTTGCAGAGGGGCACCACAGTGCCAAAAGAACCAGGCTGAGATGGTCACCCCATGTCAATGAACCCCCCCATGACCCAGTGCCAGCTCATGGCCCCACTTGCTGAGAGCTTTGTGAATGAAATGCTTAGAAAGCTCCCAGGACCTCCCACAGCACGGTCTGGGAACCCATCACTGCACGGGGCATCATTTGGTTCTCTAGAGGGTTCATTGGAAAAGCTCCCAAAGACACCCAGGACAGAAAATCTCCAGGATTCCTCCTCTGAGCCCCTCCTTCACCCACCTGTGCTGTCGTCGTACACCACGGTGGCTGACCTCCATTTCAGGTACTGCACCAGGTCCAGGATGGCGTGGCTCAGGGAAGCATAGTCAGGATACAGGTTGACATAGAAAGTGTCCTTGTTATCCAAAGGGTGATGCTTCCATCGCAGCTGTATGTGGGGGACTTCCAGGGCGTTGCAGATAGACTGGACAGCGTTGGTGCAGGAGCCTTGGGAAGGTCCAAATATTGCAACGACCCCCAGAGCCAGCTGGTCACAGGCTGGAGGGGGAAGGGAGAAATGTTAGCAAAGCCTGGGGGGATAAGCATGGGACAACCATGGGACAACCAGACACTTGTGGGCACTGATATTGGGTAATTTCAGCAGTGATTGGGCACAGTGAGAGAGGAGGATTTATGCCAGGTGGGTATAGACCAGTGGGTAGAGGCACAGAGTATTGCCAAGGTCCTCTGAGGGAGCATCCTTCACAAAACCATCTGAAAAGGGACTGAGTAGAGGCACAGAGGAGTTCCAAGCTCCTCTGAGGGAGCGTCCTCTACAAAACCATCTGAAAAGGGACAGGGGGTCACTGGGCTGGCTGGAGCAGATAGCTCCCTCCTGCTGATGTCCCTCCGATAGCTGCCAGCTCAGGCAGCAGGTTTCCTTTCTCCCCAGCCAGAATCAAACAGCACGAGCCCTCAGGTCACCAGCTCGCAGCCTTTGCTGTGCAGTCCCTCCCCTTCAGCAATTCAAGTGTGCTGCTGTTATCCAGTAATCAAAAGTGACTGTTATTAAGAGAACAGAACATCCACACGATGGATGTGAACACTGCCAGGGATGCAGCGACACAAACACAGGCACGGCCTCCAGACCTTTGCTCAGGATTAGAGCAAACCCTGAAAGGAGTTTTCTGAGGTTTCAGAGGGAAAAAAGGTAGTTGTTAAAATGCCTCTAGAAGGTCAGCTCCAGCAGGAGCTCTCATCCAGATCACTGGTGAGAGCAGGACGGAACAAGCTGCTGGTCTGGAAATCAGATCTTTCTTATGCTGAATAAATGGCCACAAAGCTGCTCAGAAGTTTGCTCTGCTCTTACCTTTCTTAGTTGCTTCAAAGCTGTCGTGGAAGTGTATCCTCTGGATGTCATAGGTGAGGGTTGTGTTGGGCAGCAGAGTTCTGTTCCTGTTAATGATGTTGGCGGAGAATCGGAAGGCTTGTTCCTCGGCACTCATCACCTGCGTGTTGGGGCCATCTGCGTACTCAAAGATTCCTCCTGCAAGACAAAAAAAAAAAAAAAATCCACCTTTGAGCCACAGCTTGTTTCCCAAATTTAAGCAGCAAGGATGAGAAAACTCTTGGAATGTTTGCAGGTGGAGCTGGGTTTGCTTGAGGACCTGTCCTGCACTGAAATGAAGACGTGAAAACTTGGGTTTTTCTTATATTGTGGTCTATAAGAATGTTCAGGGTGGCAGCTCTGTGGGGCAGTAACAGGTGGTTTAAAGTCTTGGAATATTTTTATGAGTCAGATAAGTGGCTTCCCATAAAACTTTAGGACCAGACCATGGGAAGTGGACAGGCTTATTGCCCATGGTCTGTGCTCTGGAGGAGTTACTGGGTACAAAACTGGCACTGCCCTCCTCTCGAAATCCTCCTGCCTCATCACCCATCCTGTCTTTGCATGAGAGACAGGCAGGGCAGTGCTGCTGCTGACTATTTTCAGTGCCATTTTCAGTCCCCTTCTCCTTTTTTTTATTGTTCCTCATGTTTAGTTATCCAAGTTTTCAATTCAGACCAGCAGACACTTCTGGATTTGCCTACCCTCCAGCTCCTCTGCTCAGTAATGCACATCTCAGATGCAGCTTTCCTATGTTCAAAAGTTGTTAATGCCATTACACCTCCCCAAGGGCAACAAGCTCATGTCACAGCATCGCTGGGTTTCTTGGCTCTGTGCGTGAGTCTTGTCCTCAGTTCCCACTGACAGCCACTCTAATTGGAGTGACTTGGTGCAGGCATGGCTTATGTAATGATGTGTCCTTGTCTTCAACATGCAGGAGCCACCCTGAGCCCCTCACAGAGCCACAGAAAGACACAGACCTTGCTCCATCTTATTCAAAAGTAAACCAAAATAATTAATGGATGAGCGAAACAAGCAAGTACAATTGGTAACAGATGGTCTCAGGGTTCATTAGCAGAAGGAAAAACCTTCCTCTTCAATTTAAGATACTCCTCAAATGTTTTCTTGTAGACAACAGATGTCTGCTCAGCCCTGCTGGCTTTCAGGCAATGCCATGAATCTTCCTCCAGCAGCCAGAGCACATTTTCTATAGTTTTGTGGCAGTTTGGTGTCAGCCAGGAGTTCCAGTCTGGCCAGAGCCAAGCTGACAGCTTCGCTGGTGGCCATGCTCTGGGTGTCCTCTGGGGAATGTGGCCACGGACTGGGTGAAGCACAGGAGATGTTCTCAGCAAGGAAGCAGAAGGACTTCCAAAAAGCCTCTGACTTTCTACTCGCCTTTATCGTGACAAGTCCCTTTCCTCCTCCTCCTCTGCAGTTTTGTGCATCCATGTCCCCAGTTGTGAAGGAGTGTGGGAATGAATTTACATTCATAGACGTGAAAAAGGTTTGAGCTGTTTCCTGCATGTCTCTGCTCAAAAAAAACCCACTGAACTGAGTGCTAATTTTGGTAATAGGCAGAAGAATAAAGAAAAAAGAGGCTGAATGCTCATTCTGGAGTGTCTTTTCAGTCTCACGTGATTTTCAGCCAGTCACTCATGGGCAGGTTTTCAATCCAGAATGCTGAGCAGCGTAGGCAGGAGTGTAGCAGAATTGTCCACGTGCCTCATTCTCACTGGATTATGCCAAAACATTTGGGTTTTGACTGGTGGAGAGAAAATTATTCATCCACATCAAAATTTGCATATGCTGGCAGCTCAATTTAAGTTTCTTAGGGCAGAAGAAAGTTCATCTGCAATATTAAATCACACACAATAAACAAAACTAAAGTGAGTGTGACATTCACCCCATCTCTCTGTTCAAAGCTTCACTGTCCAGACTGTTTAGCCAGGGATTTTTTATTTTCTAGCATCGTCCTGAAGTGATAACTGGTAAATGTTACATTGATTATCCACTAGCTGGCATTAGGCTTTGTCCCAGCCCAGCACTTTCAAAGTTGCGTTGGAGCATGTCTTATTATGAGAGAATACCGAAGGGCTGGGAATGTGGATTACTGGGGTTTGATCCTAAATAAATTCCTGTCCCAGACATCCAGCTGGATATAATAGGCTTTTTGTCAGGAAAGAATTTTCTGTGCAGTCACCCAGTACCTTGAGCTCAGGGCCAGGCTGTGAGAGAGCTGGCGGGCAGCAGGGATGTGTTTCTGTGTATTCCCATTGCTGGGAACACACCAGGAATACTCTGGGACACTGGGAACCTCCCTGAGGTGCAGAGGGCAGCCACAGCATGCCCCAGCATGGTGTTTGCTCAGAAACTGGGGAGACTGGGAGTACCTGATGTCAGATCTGTGCAGGGCACACCCCGCTGGATTCACACATCCCTCTTGGCTGCGCGCCGCTCCTTCAGAGACGTTCATTCCCATCATTATTTAAAGAGCCTAATAACTGGCTTGAAACAGCTGATTAATGCATAATCTTCATCATGATTACACAGCATAACTGGCATTAATTTGCAAAGCCAGCTAATTATGAAAATAATTGTTGCAGCTCTTCCATTTGAGCAAAATGGAGATGCTCAGCTCGTGTTGAGAGCACGAGGGATGTGACATCAGCCCCCCCGGGCTGGGGGTCCCCAGGGGTCCCCTGCAAGCCTCAGCAGGAGAGATGAAGGAGCAGGGCTGGGCAATCTGCTGCTGAGGGCTGGACAGCTGCACTGCCAATGATCCCACATGGGCCTTGGGCAGAAACCTCACCCGGCTTCACTCGCAGAGATGAGAGTCAGTGGGTGTGAAAAGCTCCCAACAAAAGTCTCCACTTTTATACACCACATATCGACAAATCCCACCTGAGAGAGTAGAACTGAAGCTCCATTAGTGTTGCTGCCCCTCAATAAACCTCTGCCCTATTTTGGAAGCTAGTTGCCACGTCTTGGAGATCACTGGATGCTCTGTGGTGCTCGTGGCCTTTCCCACTCTCCTGTCTGTGCAGGTCTCAGCTTCTCATTCCTTCTTCCTTCCCCTCCCATGGCTTGGCAGAGAGGTAAAAGATGGCAGTGACAAGTTCTGTCATGCTTTGTGACATCCTCCTGAGGTTTGTGAGAGGATTTGCTGCCTGATTTATGTGTTCTGTTCCTTGACCAGTCAATAGAGCCCGAGGACTCCCCACTGCAGCACCAGGTACTCTCCAACAAACACTGGAGTTTATCAATTCAGGTTGACTTTGCTTGCATAGGTATTTTTCCCCAGAAACCTTCTTTTTATGCCATGTTTGGGGGGCCTTTGGTGCAGTGGGATCTGGGACGGGGAGTCAGCTTTGTAGGAGATGCCTCACACAAGCTGTTGACAAAGACTTCCAACCCTTATCACTTATTTTACATATTTTTTGATTAAGTCATCCATTATTATATCTGACTTCTTGGATTTTAAAATCAATCCCAGGCAGGTTAAATAATTATTCAGTTGTCTTTTACTCTTAAAGCAGACTAATTGCTCTCTGGAGAATGTCAGCCAGCGTATGGGAAAACACACTAATTACAATCAGCTTCATGTCTGACTGTTTTATGTTATTTTATTTGATGACCTCGCCATCGCTGCTAAGGTGAGGAGTTTTCAAAATCTGAAATGAGGTCCCAGAGCAAATGCCTGACACTCCCTTTGGGTCTAGACCAGAGGAGCAGTAGTGGGGCTGGGCAGGCAGAAGGGGAAGTTTGGCTGAAAACCACAGAAGCTCTCAGTTGGAGCAGCAGAACTTGAGCCTTTCTTCAGGGTAAAACCTGGATCCCACAGAACACCTAAAATCCCATTGATGGCACTCAGAGCAGGCCCAGGTCTGTCTGCATCCAGCAAAACTGCACTGCATTCTTCAGTCCCCAGGGATGGTGCTGGAAAACCTTGGAAATGGTCAATATGCCTGGACAATGTGCTGGGAAGCCTCTTCCACTGCTCCAGTGATCCCGGGACATGGCTGCATGGGCTCAGTGCCAGCACAGTTATTTTTATCTTTGACAAGAGCTAAGTAAAGAAAGTCAAAGTATTTTAGGATTTTATTTCTCCCCTCTTTTGCTCTTTACCAAAACAAACAGCTTTCATTCTCAGAAAGAAAATTCCAGCAGCCCTCAGCGTGTGGTGCGATCACTTATCTTCTACTCCTTATAAATGACGGAGTTATTTAGCTTTGAAGAACAAACTATTTCTGATAACACTTTTCTCTCCCCCGCTGACAGTGTTGTTCACACATTTAGACAGCTCTGACAGCCTCTTTCCATGTGACATCCGGGAAGAAATACCTGGTTTGAGGCAGCTCTTAGCGAGGATGGAGCCAGAGGAGCTCCTCAGGGACACAGGAGCTCCTGTTCCCTCTCACATCCCTTCCATGCCCAGAGCTGTGTTTTTTTTGTGTTTTTTTTTTCTTCTCTGAGGTTATAAAATGATTTGCTGTTGCCTTCTGAGGCATGGGATTTGCCCTCTGCTGAGGACAAATCACTCTGGTTTGGGACTAGTATTAGCAAATGGGCCGATGAGGACAGGTACACAGAATTTAGTGCCTTTTCCTGCAGGATGCTGCTCCAGGTCCCCGAGGCAGAGAATGGAGAATCTATAGAGAGTCTTCCTCACAGAGCTGCCTCCCAGGAAAGGCTTGGAGAACCTGACACTGCTGCTTGGCTGACAAATCCAGGGGGGAGAATCTCACTGTCACGGCCCAGGTCCCCGGAGAGCTGCTGTTTATACAGCAGCATTATACAGAGAAATGAGATAACACTGCTGGGAAGTGAAAGAAAGTTCCCTGGAGCACGAGGCTGTGGCTGGGAATGGGACTTCAGCTCCCAGAGCCTGCCCATCCTGGGGGACTGTGGCAGTCTCAGGTGCAATAACAAGGATGCAAAGAGAGCAGGGAAATCCAGAAGGCAATAAATATCAGCAAAATAAAAAAAGGAAAGCAATGACAGATTTATTCACATGAAATCTCTCCTTACACCTTCCCCCAAGGAGCTGCTACAGTGAAATGCTCCATAGTGAGCTCCAAGGAGCTGGTCCTGTGCTCAGCCTGGCACAGAGCAGAGCCCCCAGGTCTGGTGTTGATTCCAGCTGGTCCCTAAACAGAAAC